ATGACTTCAGAAATTTATCTAAAGTTAGCAATAAGCCACTGTAAGGAAACCCCAATCTTAGTGTTTCACATGAACAACCTAAACACTCATTGGGCATTTCAGAGTAAAATACTGTTCTTACTCATGTGGGTTGAGGAAAGTGRGGGTTCAATAGGGTTAAATTAATTTGTCACCTTCAGTTGCATATTATTTTGTTATGATATTCTGAGAATAAAATGATCTCAGAGACACAGATTGTTCTAGAAATAGGATCACTGATGTCATTCACTGGTAAGTACAAGATATTTAACAATCTGAACCATATGACAGTGACTGAATGACAGATCTCTATCTTCCATCTTCACATATATGCTGAGCATGTGAGTCAGACGGATTGAGGCATAGAAATAAACTGACACTACAGTGGGGAGAATTGTTTTCGTGACTTGCAGTTAGGTTCAATTTAAATGGTGATTACTCTAGAATGCTACAATTCYTCATCTGGTAACTAAAAGCACTGTCAATGTAGATGGCTTTACGCCAGAGAAATTTGCTCATTTAGCTTTCAAAATTTGACAAAGTAAATCTTATCCTAAATTTTCTCTCTGAGGAAGGTAGAGATGCTTTTGGATGAGAATAGTCAAAATGGTCTTTCCCCAAAGCTTTTAGGAAAGTAGGATTCCTGAGGTAGCCTTGTTTATTGAAAACTAGATGACCCATACCCATGAGCAAGTGCCAAATTTTCAAGATCTGTTCACAAAAACTCTACTGTGTCTCAAGTGGGTTTTGTGTCTTATGCTGTGCATTGGAAGCATGCTTCATAAGAGCCAATTCCAAGATTATACCTTTGACTCCTAAAGCAGAAGCTCGAGCAATGTTCCATCTATTTATCTCAAYATGCACTTTATAAAAATTTGGATCTTAGAAAGGCAAACTCCTCAGGCAATTGGAAGAAAGTARGCCATGCATCCTGACTCCCTTCATGCCTTTTTTCCCCTTCAGAAAAGTCTGTCTGCCAGAAGACACTTGGGAAAACAGCTACTGTACCACAGTGTCCATGAGAAAGAGAGATGGTGCTGACCATACTGGTATCATTGCCTTCTCTGGGAAGGGCTCCTGCTGCCTCCTGCTGTTATGGGCCAGTGAACCTTTTGGGGMACTATGTTAGTGAGCCTAGTAGGCCAGAGTCCCCACATGGTGAACAACTACAGCCCGTGGGTTGGCTACAAACCAACCCAAGGGGGAACAACATTACTGGTTATAAAAGGGAACTATCCAAAACAGTAATATAGCTTGAAACAAATATTATTGACACTGGGTCATCAATGGGGAGTTAAGCAGGAACTTATGCCTTCCCTCTTAATAATTCTTTTGGATTGTAACTGTTGTGTATACATAAGGTTCAAACAAAGTTTGCCAGAAAATTTGATAGAGATAATTGTGCCAAAGTAGGAAAATTAATAGACATAATTGTAATGTGGTGGCTGGATGCCTGGACAGGGAAAAGGAAGTCAGGGAAAGATCACCAGCTGAATCTAGCTGCCAGCCTATACAATAGGAACTGGGGACACCATGCATGTCCTTCAGACAAATCTTGCTCAACAGCCTCATATCTTCCAAAGGGACAYACTGCTAGAAAGCCATATCTGAGTGTGGTTGTTATGCAACATAGTATCTAATAATATCTGTGAAGCTATATCATTAAGATAGATTCTCTCCTGAAAGTCAGCCTACTTAACAGTGGACATGTTTGACATCAGTGTCAGTATCTTGGTTAGTATGGGATGCTATATCAAGACAGCATAGACTAGATGGCATAAACAACAGAAATTTATTTCCCACAGTTCTGGAGGTTGGAAGTCCAAGATCAGGGTTGCCAGCATGGTTGGGTTCTTGGTGATGGGTCTCTTCCTGGCTTGCAGACGGTCTTTCACCTTTTTATTGTATCTTTACATGGTGAAAAGAGAGAGAATAMGCTCTTCTGCTTTTTTCAGAAGAGCACTATTCCTATCATGGTACTCTACCCTTATGACCTCATCGAGACCTTTTAACCTCCCGAACGCCCCACCTCCGCATACCATCACATGGGGGTTAGGTCAACCACATATGCATTTTGGGGTACACAAACATTAATTCCATTAGAAACTGCCATGAAATAATTAGCGCCCCATATCTCTGGCAACTGTATTGTGCTTTCTGCAACTCCACTTTTCAAATATGGCTTAGTGGCTGCCCTCTATCCCTGTTCCATTTGGGTCAAATGGCAAGGCAAAGCCTTCCCTGAGGGACTGTAGGATATGGCTGTTTTTATGGTTTCCCAGCTGCTGTACCTAGACATCTATCTGGAAGGATCATGCATTTAGGCTGGGGGTGGACTGCAGTCTTCCTGTTGGGATGTGTTTGGTGAGTCCATTGCCAGAAGACCCTCCTTTCCCTCTGTTTCCTTAATGGGAAGAGGGAAAGTAGTGAAAATTTCAGAGCAGGAGAAAGATATGGATTGCTTCTAGAGAATAATTCAAGACTCTTCACCCATTCCAAGACCTTTCTATGAGAATGAGGGAACTTGAGCTTCTGGACCATGCATGCTTGTCTTGTATTCTGAAAATCCATTTGAAAATCCAATCTTCTCAACACAGAAGCAAGATGATGTCCATTTATCCCTTGAATGATTCTGAATGAAATGTTTCCTTCTGCGTCAGTATACCTGGTGCCAAAATGAGGTCATCCTTGGGAGAAAGGGCATGTTTCTAAGCCAAGCTCAGAGCTCGCCAGATCCATTTCTGAGATCGTGCACAGAATCTGCAAGGCCCAGAGAGCACACTGTCTCCYAGTCTGGGATGTCTGCCTCAGAGGAGTCTGAGCAAAATCCCAGCCTGAAGAGGCTTTTGGGCATTTGGGAATCTGACCAAGAGACCTATTAGCTAAATATTTTTTGTTGTCACTGCTAACCTTTTATAATATTATTTAAATTTAATTTTAGAAGAGAGCTACTCAACTGCAATGACATAAAGGATATTATACCATTAAACAACAAACTAAAATTTGTTATAGCTGATCAACTTTCACTTTTCAACCTGAATTGTGATTTTCACCAGAATTTCATTGTAAAGATTTTTAAACATAAAGAAAAATTTTCAGCATTTTATATTGAACACCTATATCACCACCACCTAAATTCTACAATTAATATTTTCTTTACTTACGTTTTCATACATCTATCCATGTAGTCATCACTCTATTTTACTGTCAATCCATATTTTTATGCKTTTCAAGGGAAACTGTATATATCAGTATACTCGTCACTTTTCATACCATTGTTTACTATTTTWWWTTTTTTTWACTTTTAAGGTAAATGTACATGCTGTGTAATACAGATATGACCCATTCACATATGTCAGTGCATATGCAGTGACCACAGCATATGCCTGTAATACAAACCCTTATCAAARTACAGAGCATCACCACCACCCAGAAAGTTCCCTCACAGCCCTTCCCAGTCACTCTCCACTTCACCATTCTTGTCTTCAATTAGAGGCAAACACTTATTTTTTTTCTACTCTTGTATTCCTGTTCTGAAACTTAATCTAAATTAAYCCACTCAGCATGCTGTGTCACAAACACTTCTTTCAGTGTTATGTTTTTGAGATTGACCCAAACTGTTGGATGTATCAGTAATTCGTTCCTTTTTGTCACTGGGTAGTATTCCATTGTATGAATATAACACAGTTTGTATGTTCATTTTTTTGAGTCTTCTAATATTTGAAAATTATGAAAAAAGCTGCTAAGTAAAATTTCTTTACAATCCTTTTTATAGATATATGTTTTCATTTCTCTTGGGTAAATATCCAAGAGTGGAATTCCTAGGTCATGGGGTAGATGCATGGRTGTTTATTTTACACCTTCACTAGCAATGTAGGAGAGTTCTGGTTGCTACAYATCCTCATGAAAATTTGGCACTCTCAGTCTTTCTAATTTTAGTTCTTCTGGTGGGYGTAAAGCAATTTAAACTTCTATTTTGTCAAATTTCCAAAATAGCAAAAAAAAAAAAATACATATGTAGAAGGATCAGGTTTGAAGACAACCCTAGTTAAAGAGATTGAAGTGTATGTTATTAGCAAAGTCACTTTATTTAAATTCAGGCCATACAATAAATAGCTTGAGAGAATGAGCAATGCTAATGCAAAAGAAGCAGGCAGACATATTCTTCAGTGTGTAATTTTCCCAACTATACTATAATACTAGAAAAGTAGTTACTGCCTAGAAAACTGCAGCCTTTGTTGCTAGATAAATAGGAACTGTGTTTTCTTAGAGCTGGCCTGGGTGCACCATGAAGTGTTCTCCAATTTACCTCCTCCTGGTCAAACCTCTAGGAGGACCATCCCTATAGAGCTGGCTCAGCCCACAAAGTGGAGTCATGAGTCACCCAGACTATTCTAAGAGATGCCTGTTCCTCCATCCCTCTCTCTAACACCAATCCTGGGTCTRAAAGAAAGGAATTAACATTTCTGAGCATCAACACTGTGCCAGAACCTCTTAGGMAMTTTACATATCTTGTCTTTTTATCCTTATAACATCCCTACAGAATCCTGCACTATTTGACTCTACCTTGTTAAGCACATGGGAAGCAAATTACAGGAGGCTAAATGGTTCAGGGGGTGTTGAGGCCAGTAGTTAAATGTGCTGCATGTCTCTTGGTCAGATCTCTCGCTCTTCTCTCTCTTTTCAATTTTCTGATTTCTAGTGTTTGTCTGGAGGGTAGATTCCCTCTGCTGAGCCTGATCAGGCTTTCAGAAGATGCAGATACAACAAGCTTTAGCCCTCCTCTCTGCAGCTGCCASATATCTCAGCCTTGGGTTTTCCTCTGAAGGAAAGGAATCATCAGCCTCCCACTTTCACCCTCCTTCCACCTCAGCTTCTTAAAGTCTCACTGTCCCTTTACTGCTCCTTTGGTCCTCTTCCTCATCACTCCCTCTGTCCACTGTGGGGAAGGGCGATAATTGTATTCATCCAGAGTGAGTTACCTGTTCCTGAAAAGCATTAGCTTGCTCCTCAAATCCTGCTGTTCGGAAATAATTGACGACATCCATCACAGCCCAGTCGGCAGGATCAGGTGGTCTTCCATTTTCCATGGAACTGCAGGACACAAACCCAGACAGTTGTCAGGGCACTGGGTACATACAAGGTAGGGCCAGGCTCACTGCTTTTCCTCCCAGTGCTGAACTGGGCCAGCTTGCTGGGACCTTGTCCTTCTCTTCTCTCAGAGGACCAGACAGAGCCCAGTCCCCACCCTACACCCTCCAGAAGGGCTGTGATCATTTTCCATTTCTTGGTGTCAGATGATCACTACTCCTACTGGCTCAGTCACTGCTTTCACAATAAACTATTTAACCTTTAATATAAATTCTTCCTCACATACTGGCTTTTTTTTTTAAATCAAAGACATTGAGAGTGATCCAGTGACTTTTAGTGACCTGTAGCTGGATATTCATTCTGTACTTTACACTACAATATTCATTTTACAATGTGACTCCAACGTACCTCTCTTCCCATCTCCTGCCACCTTCCTTCTCCCCATCCCTGCACATCAAGGAATAAAACTATCATAGACCCCGCCCTCTCACATTCTGTCCCAGCCTATTTTAATGCCTCCTCTCCTGTCTCTACCTGACAAATTCCCACCATTCCTACTAGCTCAAAGTTCACCTCTTCCCTATTTTCTGGCACTGCCAGGTAATTATTTTAGTTACACTCTCCTCTGAGTTCTAGCACTCCATTCAAACTCTCATTGCAATATCTTCTATACTAGATCATATTCTCTGTTTATTGGACAGTCTCTCCTACTAGAGTGGGCCTGTGGGCTAGAGATACGCATTTGAGATTAAATCACTTCTCATTTTATTATTCCTAGAGTCAAGTGTGTACTTAGGAACTCAATCAATATTGTTCAAATGACTAAACAGGTGACAGTCAAACATCTGCCTGAGAGATTCCATAGTAACCCTTCTCATTGAATTTAGAAAGGAGGGACAGAAGTAAAATAGAGTAAGAATGGCATTGAGCTGCAATTGCTATAACTCTGCCTCATTTCTATGTTTCAGGAATGTCTATCTGATAATCATCTTATCCAAGGTGATCTTCCCAATCACATTGTTCATCTGCTTAAAAGTCTTCCAAGGCTTTCCTTTTCTCTTAGGATAAATTCCAAACAGTGTAAGTGGGCTTAGGAAGTCATTCAGGACAATGGCCCCCACCTCTCTAAGTTAGGAACACACTAGGAAGCTAAACCCACATATTGCTTATTCTTACAAACCTTATAGTCCCATAGAGGAATATTAACCAATAACCATACAGGTAAACACACAGCTGCAAGTTAGGCAAAATGCTGTAAGGACAGATGCACTGTGCTATGACAGACAGACTTTCCTGTGGAAGTTTCCTTTGAGGTAAGGCCCAAAAGGCAGCCAGAAGTTAACTGTAAGGTTATGAAGTCAGGTGAAGATCCTTCCAGGCTCTGTAGCAGGAATACATATAGCCAAGGCAAACCATGCAGGTCACACTGAGGCTTATGGATTTTTGATAAGAGCAATGGGAAGTTGTTGAATGGCCTCACAGAAAGGGGGTGACCTGACCGGATTCATATTTTGAAAAAAGAAGGTATTAGAGAGGAGCCAGAGAGGAACAATCGGTACAKATGAAAACTCTGTTGCATTCATCCAAGCCAGAGATCATGGTGACCCAGACTAGAGTGGTGGCTATAGAAACGAAGATAAGAATGTGGATTTAAAAGCTATTTAATGAATAAGATTTGTATAACTCAGTGGTGGACAAGACACAGAGAAGGAAAGGGATATAAGTGTTATGGAACTGAACAGAAGTTGGTACCTTCACCAAAATGGCATCCCTAGGTTTGGTTGGACACACTGAATCTGGAGCTCAAAGAAACGAGTGAGCTGGAAATACACATTTGGGGGACAGAAATTTAGATGGTGATTGAAACATTGAGAGGATGAGCAGAAAACTAGGCTTCAAATTAAACTTAGTAAAGTTTAACATTTAGTGAAAGTTGAAAATATTCATGTTACTTTGAATAGAAGTGAAATTACCCAAACTTGGGAGGACTACTAAAGATCTTCAGACATCTAAAAGGTAAGAGTCTAGCTATCTCATTCCCAGCAAAATGTTTTGGTCATAGCAAGAAGCTGAAATAATTGATTAAAAAAAATTTAAACCAACTTCTGCTCTTGTTAAAGAAAAGGGAGAAACTGATTAATGGCATATGTGATTGCTCATTTCTCAACAGCACTAAATTTTAAAACATTTAAAGCCAATGCTTACTAGTTGGAAGTGTTTTCTTTTTTGAGTTCAGAGATTGTGACTCTCTAAGCACTGTGTGCCGTGTATCCATGCACCATATGTGTGTACACACATTATTTCCTAGCATTTAATAGGCAACATACATTTGGGAAAAAAACCTACTTTCACCCTAATGTTGTCAAACATTAATTATGTACTTTTAAAATCAATGCTAAATGTTTTCTTTTTAAGTATTTATGTGCTGGGATTTTCTGTCACTCTAAGAACATAAGCAATCATGAGCTGACACGAGGGACCCTTTTCAAGGTACCATTTTATTTTTCTATTTTGTTTAAGGTGCGTTTGAAGAAATGTCTGGGCAGGAGTTCTTTGTTCTAGCAATTCTTTTAAGTTTTCTAATCATCTCACTTCTGGCAGTGAGCAGAGTCTCACTGGACACACTTTCAAGTGACTGAAAAGTACCTGAATTCACTTTCCCTATGGATGACTTCAATTAGTCACCTTTCCTTATAAAGAATAGTTATCAATTGTAATAACAAAGTATGTTACATTGTGATTTTAGGATGAGAGGCTTTCCTGATTCTTATTCTGTTGTAACATCACCACTTTCATAATTCTGAAAAATCATGAGTACCAACAATACCACAGATAATAAGGACTTCATAAAACTGATGACCATGAAGCACAGGAGTGACATGAAACTGAGAACTCTCACACGTATAAGGTGAGGGAATCTAACTGGAAGAAATAAGGGCTAGAAACCAATCAATACATTTCAAGATTATTCTACATAAGGTTAAGTCTGATGACCCCCAAATCACACTAATTTAGAAAAAAATGACATTAGATAATTCATTTCCTGAGAAGAAAATCCTATCTTCTTGTAGCTTCCCAGCACCTCGCACAGAACTGACTGGTACATAATTTATATATAGCAGAGACACTGTTACATTAAATGAACTAACAACCAGAAAGCACTTACAGTCTATGAAATGCTCTTTAGAAAAGCTCAGAAAGGGTAAGAAACTCACCCAAAGTGTATAATAAGATAAAGCCAGGATTGAATTCTAGACATGCTTGGCTCCAACCTATCCTTTTCCCATTGTACTTCTTTACTGATTCAACAACTACTTACTGAATGCCCATAGTCTGCTCAGTACTGTGCTAGATGCAGGGTTACCAGGATCAAGAATGTATAGTTCCTGCCCTTGAGGAGCTGGCAATCTCGGGAGGGAAAGCAGTTGGAAACGGCTGACCCTAAGAAATACTAGCATTGAGAGGTGAATAAAGTGCAACTGAAGACACATGCAATGGAGGGCATATTAGTTTTGTCTAAATTGAACACTTGAAGATTCTCTATGTYGATTTAAAAGAACACCTATGGCTCCAAACACACCCTGAGCTGGGACTCAGGATTTGCTGAGGCATGTGCACTCACGTGCATATCACAGCTTGTACACTGCTGATAATAAAGCAAGATGGATGATTTCATTGAGCCCTTCCAGGGGTTTTAGTGATGGTTTTAAGGAACTACTAGAGATGGAATGTAGCATGAAGGTGGTGGTGAGGTGGAGGCTGGGGGTAGTCAAAGCCAAAGCCAAATAATATCTGGCATGGGAACATTTTGGGGGATAGATTAAAGTGACACTTATTCCTTCAGGGAAGGCAAAGTCTCTCCTCAAGGAGTGATATTTATAGCCAAACTCAGACTCTTAACCTTGTTCCTTTATAAGTGGTCCATTCTCTCCATATCCTTTCTTATAATGTGTGCATATCAGACTCCAGAAGCAATTTAAATAGCACTTTTTAAAACACCTCCCAGTTGGTGGCTCCATTGTGGCTGCTAATTTTGCACTGAAAATGAGACAACAGATAGGAAAGTTCCATTGTCTTTGGGTATTTATTATTTGCTATCATCATAGCAAAATGTTTCTTAGAAAATAATACATATTAAGATAATAAACCCTGAGTATTTTTCCAGGCATTGGAATTTTTATAAAATATGTATTTTTCCTTATTATAAAAATCAGCAAGAAATGAAGGACATAATTTGTCTTTAATTTCCTCTATTAATCAAATAAATGTTTCCATTTAACCCAGTCACCTTTTAGCCTTTGTGCATATGGTTAGGTACGTCATGCGCTGATAAAATTCTATCATGTGTGAATAATTCACACTAGGAAGTGATTATCCTTTAATTAAACAATCACCTCACTTTGAAAGAGAGCCAAAGAGATGTGATCATGGGGACAGAAATGCCATAAATAACCATTTGGCAGATATAATACAGATTAATTGAAGACTTTTTCACATGGGCACATCATAATTTTAAGTGTTGTCAGCAACATTTAAATGTCTCCATTTCCCTTTACATGAAGGCAGGTGGGAAATAGTTGAAATTTTCTCTAAATCTAGCACATGTGTATTTTATGGTGCTTATGATATTATAGATTCTGAAGGTTAGTCAGGCTAAAAAGGTACTCTAGATAAATAGAATCCACATGTGATTTTATAACTATTATATTCATTCACTGCATTTCTATTTCAAACTTCAGAGGAAAAAATACTTTAAACACTGGTTAACATATTATGGTGATATTTTTGGCATATTACTCTTTTTTTACAATTTTGAGTGTTACTTATTTTTATACTTAAAAAATGCACTCTAATTTTGTACTGCCTTAATCTTTATACCTTATTTTAAAATTAAATTACCCTGCTCTTTGCCCATGTCTTAAAACAGCCTTTGGCTAAAAGCAATTTAATTCTGATTCTAATAAATTAATATCGATCCCTTTGCCTATAACATATCTAAGAAT